GGGAGATCCTGCCATATAAGCCGGTAGTAGACAAAGCAGAGGGAAGGAAGATGAACAATACAAAATTGTGTTGTAACTTTGAGCAGGCTGACTCATCCATGAGTTGGGTAGTTGGTCCTATGTCCTTAATACACAAAAGCAGAGAGGTATATAAAGTTTGGTTATTTCCTTTTCTAAACATAACCGACATTTGGGTGAGGATCCTCACGAGTAGAGGTGACCTGATCACTTGATTGAAGACAAAATTTGAGACTTACTCTACTTGTTGGATGTAGTTGTGTTGTGGAGGCTGAGCGAACGCATACGTTGCGGGTTGTTCGGTCACACGCGCTTGTTGCTGTTTAGGCAGGGCTAGACTACTCATAAGTTGAGTAGCCTGGTTTTATGCTCTATGTCACTGTATGGGCTGGTCGAACACAACATAAGTTGTTGTGTTCTGGTCGTATGCCTTTTGTCGTTGTTCAGTCTAAGGCTGGCCCCTCATGAGTTGAGGAGATTCAGTTTTTTGTGTGTGCTGAAAAGTTCAGGCTGGCCAGCCTCGCCATAAGTTGGTGTGGCCCGGTCATACGCCTTATGTCAATCGTTTAGGCAGAAACTGGTCGCTCCATAAGTTGGTGTGGTTTGGTCCTATGCCTTACGTATATTATGTCTATTTTTGACTAAACTTAAAAGTAGAACATGTTTTTTATATTGTGCCCATGTAGATCTAATACTTGTTTTACTAGGTTAGGGCACCATACGTTGGTGTGGCCTAGCCATATAAACTGGCAGATCAGTCACATCCATAAGTTGGGTTGGTTGATCCTATGCCTTATGTAAGGAAGGGTAAAAGGGGAATAACGAGGCTTGTTGAACAAACTAAGTGACCTGGGAAGGAACCTGTGGGTTGGTGAGAGATGTTTGTTGTGCTCACCTATGTATGTTTTTGAGGTTCTTCTCTGGGGTAATCTTTTTGATAGCTTAGTCGCTTTAGATGCTCTCCGAGTGTTGGAGCTATAGGTAGACGAGATGGATGATGGGAAGCTTGGGATTTGATAGGTCTGACCCTACTTGAAGTTAGGACTGGTGTTAGCTCACGATGCCATCACCTGAGAGGGATCGTGAAGACTATCCTCAGTTCCAACTATCAAATGAGTGTCAGAAGTTAGTTTCAAGTATAAGTTGTGCTTTGTCTTTACACTTTCAGCTTTATCTTGACTGTCTCCCTGTTCCTACGAGAAGCACTGCCGAAATTTTGTAGAATCTGGGGAGTTAGAATATTTTCTACTAGGCAGAAGCTGGCAATCCACCCTGTCAAAGGGAGATGCTGCCAAAAATTGTTGATGATTTTTGGAACCCATTGAGATAAGATAAAGGAGAGATTAGTAGAGGAGCTAGGCTACGACATGGAGCACGTTCTTCATTTGGCTCAAACATAGTAGTGGCTGTCTTTGACCTGTACTGTGTTGCAGGGCTGGGAATTCGATTGAAGGCTCGACTTGGTCGACCTGATTCTACAGAGTATCATCTTCTGTTATCATTGATAACAGGTCGGTTGCTGATTCATCGGTTTACGACAGCAACTTCCCTGCTTCTGCATCTCAACCTAAGGCCTTGGCTCGTGTGGGCTTTTATGTTTCTTAGGGTTTTTCACCCAGACTTCTTTTCAAATGGCCATTTCAAAAAGACTGAGTACCTTTATTTTCAGGGATGGTGGAAATTGGTTGGGGTTTGTATGCACAAGGCAGGGTGTGAGCCGCAAAAACGGAGTGAAGTTGACTCCCTTAGTGTGTGTGATGTTGTTGTTGTTTGAACCTTGTGTGATCGGCAGGTATGCTTATAAGATTTTTTGAATTGAGCTTGGTGATAGTCTGAGCATTGCTTGAATGTTGAAGGACAAGCCACACAATTGATGTGAGAGTGATCGTCTAAATACCACACAAACTTCTGTTTGACTACCTGAACTGCCCTTGCTTAGCATAGCTATAATAGTTGAAGGGAACTATATAGTGATTGTGAGAAGTGATCGTCTCGCACTTATTTCCCACTATATATATGTCCTCTTCTCCCTCTCTGCCTACGGTTTACCGGGCAGTTCTATTTGACGATATATACAAGTACATACCTCTGTTGGGTATTCGCGTGGTCTGACGAGCCCACTCTTAAAGGTCTGAATGAGGTCGAGATGGAGAGAGAAGGGAAAACCTCCCTTATTGGTGTATATTTTCTTAGAAAAATTCTTAGTCGGGTGTTGGTCGTAGGCTTGGATTCGAGGTCCTTGTCCAGGTCATCCCAGGTCCTAGGCTCAGCGCGGAAGGGATCACCCCTCTTACGGAGGCTGATTTACTTGCCCGCACGATGTTGTACCTGGGAGACAGAAATGTCGGAAGGCTGAGGGGTTGTCCCCCAGCTATTTGGTCCGGCGGGGTGTTCATGTTTTCTTCTGCTAACACTACATGTTCTTTTTCTTTTTTCCTTGTTTTAATTTATTTGGGGGAACGATAAAGTTATGGGCGAAACGTTTAGCGTGTCGCTGGTGATGCGCCAGACAACTCACCACCGCTCCGAATCCCTTCCTGCCCTAGGGATTATCTTGCCACGCACTGTTTGGGACACCTCAGGGTGCAGAAGACGGTAAGGCCCTCAGGCCGGTTTTGCGCTCGCTAAAGGTTTACCCCCATTAGCAAGCACTTCAGCCGACGCCTGAGCGGCGAGAGCGGCCCCATGGCTCAGATGAGGCCACTCGGTTATGGGCACCACATAATGCGCCGTCATCACGACTGCTTACGTAGGGGTGCATTGCTGGTCGGTATGAGTAAGTCCTGTTTCCGCGCGGTTTTATACTAAACCCCGCGCGCAGCACTTACCGATTTCCACATTGGAAAGTTATGGGTCAAGCGGAAAGGGCAGAAGCATGTGGTGGTGAGTACACCCGAGTTTAAGTAATGCGAGGCGACGCGCGGACGGAGTACTAGCTCTAGTCGGCCTATGGGGACCCGCATACGCGCTTCCAACGTTTCAAACGTCGGTTTGCATATAGGTCTGATTTGGGCATTATCCGCACGCACCTTTTCGTACGGACCGGCCCCTTCCATTTGATAGGCCTATCAGGCTATACAAACTAGAATACGGGCTAGGCAGAGAGGAAAAGGGGGCGAGCCTCTTTCTCTATCTGCAATCGCTTCCTCTTTTTGAGTTTTCATAGTTGGACGTTGTAGTCCGTGGCAGCCGTCAAAGTCAAACCCGTTGATCTTTGGCCGCCACGGCGGTCTGAAGTTGTCTACTGAACCCCTCTCCACAGGGTGTAGAAGAGGGTGTGATCTTCAACCGCACTTGGCAGTTGTCAAGCGTCGATAGGTTAATCCCTCAAAGCACTTGTCAGCCGACACTTGAGTGTCGAACATGGCCCTCGAGACTATCGAGGATTGCCCGACTATGGGTACCACGTAGTACTCCATCGTTGCGATTGCTTGCGCATGCTCGCATGGCTAGCTGATATGAGAAGGTCTTACGTCCGCGCAATTTATACTAAAGTCTTACGCGCGATGCTTATCTGACTCTCGCTTTCGAAAGTTATGGGTTGGATTCTGAAGGGACTAGGAGTGTTGTTGTGTTGTTGTGTCGTGTGTTTGTGGATGTGAGTGTTGTGGTGCAACGCGTGGTATGCGTGATGCGTCCTAGTCGACCGGCGTCGAGTCGCGTTTGGGACCTCAGCCCCCCAGTACGTCGATTCGCGTCCGGGTTCGATTCTGGGCATTGACCGCGCGTACCCCCTATGTTACAGCGAACGAGAAACGCCCTCGGCTGGGCCACCTCTGCGATTGCATATGAAAAACCTTCGCATGTGGTTTAGTAGCTCGGCGGGGATACGCCTACCTAAGAGATGGTGACAGCTCCCGCAGGTGGAGGTTAAAGTGGTGCCTCGCGTGCCCCTGTCCTGTCGTAGGGGCGCGCGAGAGGTATGGCTGGTGCACTCGGTCGAAGCGGCTAAAAACGCTCTGCGACGAAGTCCTGCAAAATCCTGCGTGACGCAGCCGGGAGGGTCCCTGTGCGGGACCGATGCGCTCGACAGCGCCAACATGCTTCAACTGCACCAATCGCGCGCACGTCCTGGAATGTTTGAATCTCATCATTTGTGTTTGTCATCTCGCCAACCATGGCTAGATCAGGACCTTTCATAATATATTCGAACATATGTCGGTAGGCCGCAGTAGATGCACAAATTTCGACATTCAAATGACAACGATAACGCAAGAGAAGGAAAGGGTTGCATGGGACAACCCAAGAATTGTCAAGTTGATTGTTTTCTTGATGAACCATTGCACCTCCTTCACCCGGTGCACGCCTACAGTAGATTGGATAGTTGGTTTCTTCATTCCATGTTTGTTGTTCGGTCGGAAAAATCTTTGGGGAAGTGATGCAAATAGCGATCATTGTGCATGCAAGGAGCTTGAGGATTGTGGACTCCGCAAGGATTTTGAATCATGTGTGCTAGCACGAGCTCACGAAGTGCAGGATTTTTGGGAATCTCGACGCAAACAATGGTATCAATCTGTTCTGGTATTGATATTTCTCTAATACTATAAAGGAAGAAGCGGTTCTCGCGTGACGGGCCCAACAGAAACTGGGCGCCGCCACGTGGGACCGCTCCCAGGCAGTGGGCAAGGGGGAACCGGTGGCACGTCGGTGTCGGGAAGTGTTCGTGTTGGAAGTCCTCAGGAGTGCAGGACTTGGGCAAGGGAAATCCGGCGCGGCGTTTCGTGGACGCGGGTGGGTCGGGGGCAAGGGAATTAGGGCGCGCCGTTTCGGGGCGGTACAGAGCGCTGCCGTGTGTGACTGCGAAAGTGCGGTGCGGCACCGAGCGCGGTCGTGTGTGGGACTGTGGGGATCGTGGTGCGTGGACAGTGGATTTTTGTTTTTTGTTTTTTAGCGTGGGGGGGAGAGGAGGTTATTAGAGCGTTCGTTGCTTGGGCGCAGTGCATGGGCGGGGTGTACATTGCGTGGGGCTGTGGGGAGCGCAGTGCATGGGCGATGGAGCGGCAGCGGGGTGGCAGCGGGGTGCGGACTGCGAGAGTGCCGTGGATGGATTGTGGCGCTGGCTATGGCGGGATCTTTGTCACGTTGTTTGGCGGAGGAGGAGCGGGAGGAGTAGTGGGAAGAGCGGGAGGAGGGATGGGAAAAGGAGCGGGAAAAGGAGCGGGAGCAGGTGCGGGAGAGGGAGCTGGAGGGGAAATGCGAAGGGGCGGAGGAGCCGCGGGAGGAGGAGCTAGAGAAGGAGCGGAAGAAGGAGCACGAGGAGAAACGGGAAGGGGCGGAGGAGGCGCAGGAGGAGGAGCGGGAGGAGGAGTCTCGAAACTTTGAATAAATTTCGCTACGACGTAGGCTTTGTTATATCAACTAGCCATGCATGAATACGCAAGCAGTCTTAGTGATTGCGTACTATGTGATGCCCATAATCAAACGATCCTGGATGGCTTTGAGAGTCACTTGCGACACTGAAGTGTCGGTTGACACGCGTCTTGAGGAGTTGAGTTCTACCCTTTCTTGCACCCTGCGCAGACGAGTGGTAGACGGGCCCCGACCAAACGCCTCTGAACCTGGAAATGAGGCTCCATCATCAGAGGCCTGGAAACACGTCAAGGGGTTTGACTTTGATAACCGCCATGGACCTTAACGTCCAACTAAAAATTCTAAGAAGCAAAACATAAAAGGGATCGTCCTTTTCTCTCAATACAGATCTATTTAATCATTTACGCGCGATCATGGTAGACCACACAAATACATAAAATATAAATACGACGGGATATAGGACACTAGGCAATCATTCTCACTGTCAACAGTGTGACTCCCTTCAAAATATACGAATGGTTGTAGGCAAAGTCAAATCTGAACTTCAACTTACAAAACATACCTGCAATCACAACAAAGATTTCATATCGTTAAATCACGCACTAGGCGGGGTCAACTTCAAATACTACCTGCACTCATACCCCTTGCCTTAACCACATAAACCCCAACATTTGTCCAATCTTCCAAAATAAAGCCCTCAATCCTTTTGAAATGGCCATTTAGTAAAAGTCCGGGTAAAACCCAAAAAAACAAATCAACCCACAGGGGCTAAGGCCTTAGGTTGAGTAGGGAGGATGGAATAGAGTCGAGTCGAAAACCGACCTGTTTTGAAAAGATAACAGAAGGCGATCCTCATAGGATCAGGCTGAAACTAATCGGAGCTTGAACCAGAATGATAAAAAAAATATGTAACACAACAGACCAATTCCCAAACTAAAATGTAAGCATATGGAGACCTCCATATCACATCTCACTTAGTTTCTCTCAATGACTAAATTTAGATTTACCTCTAAAATAAGTGTCAAAAGAATATGATAATTTTCGACAGCATCTCCCCTATACGAGGTGGATCGCCAGGACTTTTCCTATCAAAATACAATCTAACTCTTTGACGTTAAGAAATATTTTAACAGTTCTTTCTCCAGAGAATGTACCTTATCAGAATTATTCTCGAGTGAATATGAAATCTGAAAACAAACCTTGACTTTACAAAGTTGAATTTTGTGACCTCTCTGAATTAGTAAAATATTGGGTACCATCCCCTTTAGAGAAGTAGGTTTCTCAGATTTACACTAAGTCAGATATGAACTCAAGATAAAACTTGACTCCTGCTAAGACAAAATTTAACCAACTTTTTAGATTTATAGAAATTTTGGCAGCACTTCCTTTATAAAAAAGTGTCTTTCCAAAATGTGTACAAAGCTGAATACAAAATTAAAAAATATGTTTGACTTCACAGAGTCAAATTTTGTCTAGCTCTCTGATTTAGCGAAAAATTGAACAGCAACTTCCCTAAAAAGTAGGTTTCTTAGATTTTTACTAAATCCGATATAAAACTTGGATAAAAGTCGAAATTTGTAGAGGCAAAATTTGACAAACTTTTTGGATTTGTAGGAATTTGGGCAGCACTTCCTCCCTTAGTAAAAGTGCCTGCCTTGAATTTGTGCAAATGCAAGTATGAGAAATAAACTTAACTCAAAAAATGCGGAAGAGTATAAGGAATAAACTTAACTAAGAAAATGCAGAAATTGAACTAACTCCCATAACTCCAATACATGGCGAGCATCAGACTAAGTAGAGCTCTCACTCAATCACATGTAAGTCCATACGAGAATGGGTAAGTACTCTCATTAAAAATCCCAAGTTGTTTCCACATAAGGTAGTTCGTTGATCGTTCAGATGATATCCCTTTACCCATCTTATCTGTGGCATGGCGCTAGACCATTCGACTTAGAAACAATTCTTAGCATGGCTTAGATTATACACAATCAGGTCGCACAACTCCTTTTTTCTTTGGGCATGTGACTGGACCATTCAACTTAGAAACAATGCCTAGTCGCCTTCCCTCCGACTTGTCTTCAAAATATGGGCAGGGGACTGAGCCATTCAACTTAGAAACAATGCTCAACTAGTCAAATTTACTTCCAATTATACTCTGTTATCTTCATAGTTGCGGTGCACATGCGCGGTGCGTGCCGGTGCACTGTGCGTTGTGCGCTGGTTTAGTAGAGCGCGCATCTGTCTCTTATACACATCTAGATGTGTATAAGAGACAGAAATATGGGCAGGGGACTGAGCCATTCAACTTAGAAACAATGCTCAACTAGTCAAATTTACTTCCAATTATACTCTGTTATCTTCATAGTTGCGGTGCACATGCGCGGTGCGTGCCGGTGCACTGTGCGTTGTGCGCTGGTTTAGCAGAGCGCGCATTGTGCGTTGTGTACGTGCGCAGGAAAAAAATACTAAAGATGCGCCCCCCCCCCCCCCCCCCCCCCCCCCCCCTTTTTTTTTTTCCTCCCCATACTATTCATCTTTTATTTATTTTTTTGGCTATTCATCGTTTTTTTTTTTGGCTATTCATCTTTTTTTTTTTTTTTTTTTTTCCTTGAGAATTACGAACAAATTAGAGGGGTGGGAGGGCTGCAAAGTTGCAAACACTCACCTGCAGTCGAAGTATGCACGTACCAGCGATGGCAGTCAGGGCATCCGTCCAACGACGCGACAACATGGCGTCAAAAGAACACATTCAACACAGCAATGAATTCACAGTGGAACATCCACAAGAAAGAATGACGAACACAATAGAAAACCAGTCAATCAAATCCAATCAACGATCCAATCACGCAAATATTCGTACATTGCAAGATAAAAAATAACAGTTTGAATTTTGGACGTTCAAAGCTTCATGTCTAAAAGACGACCATTGTCAGAACGCTGCACTTGGAGTATCGGATACCTTAAATCATAGATCGAACGGCTTCCCTCTACTCAACCTCTACCCGATCTTCCTCCTTGTCATCCTCGAATTGGGCCCCTCCCTCACTTCCTTTTCTGCCTGTGCCTTCCATCCCACTGGTTTGAGATGATGAGGGAGCCGATGAAGAACTTGAGTCTGTGGACGTGGACGAGCCTTCAGGATCGTCCTCTTCCGGACTTCCTTCGGGGACATCCACGTCGTCATCGTCATTTACAATGACAGGCTTCTTGGCCTTCCCTCTCCACTTGCGCTCTTTATGGCGGTTTTCGCTACGACTCTGGCTTTGGCCGCTGCGGCTTTGTAAGTAACAACTTTTGTGTCAGTTGCTGCAGCAATACCCTTGTTTTCAGCCATCTTCGCCCTACGTGCCGCCTGCTTTGCCAAAGTTGGACGGGCCCTCTTCGGTTGTGGCTGTTCTTGCTGAACAACCTTCCTCTTCCCACGTTGCGCGAGCGCATCATCATCCTCCATCGCGTGTTTGCCCTTGCGTTTCCCTCTCCTCTTTGTTGGTGCCTCGTCTTGGCCCTACACCCAAGTGCCAGCCCGTCGCGTTTCCATTGTGAGAGTTCAGCCCTCCTCCATGTACAACTCTCCAGGCGCGGGCAGTTGGCAACCAGATCTCCTGGGCAACTCTTGCGCACGGTGCTTCCCAGGCTTCGTGCACTCGTGCCAATCGCGTTGCCTTGTACCGACAAGTAGTGTCCTCATCCTCAACCGGCCTGTCATCAACTTCGTCATTCCACAGGAAAGTCTGGCGCATCGGAATCTCGTCTCCCTTATCATCGCAGTTCACCTCCACGACCTCCTCACGATCGACATTCTAATGGACCCGCTCCAACCACTGCAGATACCACTCGTCCATCTCCTTGTCCACCGGGACGTCGTCCGCCCATGGGATGTGAGTATCATCCCCCTCACCTCGTTGATTCCTCCTCAGCAGCCGAACATTCCAACTTATGTACACCAATTTCGCCATCTCCTCTGGCAACAACTTCGTTCGCCTCCTTCCATAGATTAGCTCATGCAAGGAGCTTGCCTGGCCAAGCAATTTGATCGCTTGTGGTGCGAGGAAGTCGTGCTTCGAGCTGAATGCCTCCCACCACAAAGCTGGTGGTTGGTGGCTGGCTTGTTTGTGAGCTTGCTCCGTCGAGAACCCTCCCAAAGCATTGACCCATTGATAAACCTGGGAGCTCACTTCGTGGCGCCGTTCCTGTGGCATCCAAGAGTACAACCAAACCCGGCACGGACCTCCGGATCGCGTTGTGCGTTGTGCATCCGATGCTCAAGATCCAAGAAGGCTGCGACACAATGTAGCTCACTTGTCATAAATGCCCAACGGCCCATGAGGATGCGCTCCACCGTCTCGTGCTCCTCCACCGGCAAACATTCCAGGGCATGCAGATTCTGCACAACCTGATGCATCTTGAAGTAAACCTTTGAGATGGTTGCTCCTTGCCCATCCACCATATGGAGGAGCTCCACCACCGGTTGCATGACATCAAGCGCCTTTTGTACATTCCGCTAGAAGTCGCTCTTGTCGAGGACGATGGCTGTTACATCGTGGAATGCCACCAACTGGTCATTTCGCACCGTCTTGTCCACCCATCCCTTGTCGCACACAGCGATCAAGAGCTTTTCGCAATTCCTTCAGCGACTGCAGCATCTTGAAGTTGGTTGCAAATCTGGTTGCCGCCAACCACTTCAGCTTTGTCTTCGGGGAGTAGTGGTCGAACAAAGCCCTTGCCTTGTCCACGTTCGAGAAGAAACGACCGACCTTGTTGCCAGCATCGACCACTTGCGCCATCCAATGCATTTCCTTGTACATGTTCTCTAGCGCGAGGTCGAGCACATGTGTCGTACAACCGACACTGAAGATGGTCAGATAGGCGGACTCCACCATCTTCCCTGCCTTCATGCACACCCTTGTGTTGTCCATGATAACACCAACGGCCGCATCCACTCTAATGTCTTTGATCACGTCGTCTAGGATAAGTTGCCGAATCCTTCTCCTTGCCCTCCATGCAGAGATACTTCCAAAATATTGTACCGACGGGCGAGGACACCATGGCATTCAAATGTGGTTTGTTGTGGCGGTCCGACCAGCCGTCCATCTGCAGCATACACCCCGTCTTCTTCCATTTCACT